TTTATTTTATGAAAGACATATTGCAACGTTTTTTTTACATAAAAGTTTTTATAGAAAATATTTAATAATGTTAATATAAGTTAAATAATAATAAAAATAAAAATTGTAATTGATTCTACTTTAATTTTTACGAATTTATTAATTTTTACAATTTATAAATTCAAAGAAATTTGCGGGAATGGATGATAAATGTCGGACCAATCACAAACCGGGGAGAAGGTGGCCAGACTCTTATTAAAGGGTCACTACAGAAAAGCATAGTCGGACACTCTTGGTTATGGTTGCTAATTTTCGGTTGGCGCTTTAGAATATTTACATTTTAAATATATGTACGATATAAGAAGTACGTTCATAAGTCATCTGGATTATTTTAATGTAAAAAATAATATCTACGCATAAGATTATTATCCAACAAGAGACACAGAAGTGACACGGTGTGACACGGCAATCGTTGCATCCTCGTCGTTCGCTAATGTTAAATAAAGATGAGGTGATTGCTGTGTCGTAGATGGAAAGCAACCTCTGCAACCAATCAGGAAACAAAATTTTGCTTCGTATCGATGATACAATTTTTCTGATTGGTTGCAGAGTCGTCGTACGACGAAAATCGGATGCAGTGTGAGCCCGATATTTCATGTGTCGTACGACAAGGCTTTTCAAGCACGTTGATTGGCTATAGGACAGAGAGATGCAAGAATCTCTCTGTTTTACAGCCAATAAACAGGCATGAAATATCGGCCTGAATCCAGCATCAGGCATGCGCATGGTGGAAGTATACATGGTGTGCTTAGTTTCCTAGGGGACAGTCGAAAAAGTCGATGAGTGGTTCAAATTGTGCCAACCTCTGCAGAAAAAATATGAAATTTGAAGTGTTGGCGGCAGTGGTGATATGTATCTTTGTCACGCTCAGTGCTCTAGAAAGAGAAACAACTATGTATATACCATGGACATAGAAATATAGGGACAGAGCATTAGCTCCGAAGATAGGCGAGGGGGGTTATTCTGAAATGCGGGGGGAGTACATGCCTAAATTTTATTGGCTACAGCTATGCGCATGCTCAGTATCGTGTAACATCGACTTAGCGGCCAATCGCAAATAAATGATCGAAACAAAATGATAAAAATTTGTTGTTAAAAAATTAATTGTAACCCATTACCAATAAGATTAACAAAATAAAACAATAATTAGAAATCTGAGAAGGAATTATATAGAAGTTCTAATGAGAAAAATAAAAATATGTACGCATATTCAATATTAAACAATTACTATTTATTTGGTACTTTTATTCACTATGAAAAAATTTACTAAATTTTAATAAATATTTCTTTAAATATTCCAGCGAAACATTTAATAAATTTAAAGACGTATTTATTAGATCTAAGAATCATTAGTTTGAATCAACTATCATTTTTTTCATTTATCTAAATATTTATTTACCATAAGTAAATATTCCATTAGGACACTTCAAAGAAATATTTATTAAAATTTAACACCACAAATTTTTTTCTTAGTGTAGATAAAAAAAATACAAATTAGGATTTTAGATTTATATAGATGGATTATATAATACTACGTAGAATAAAAATTAT